CTGTCTTATGCTTTCACTAATCATTCATGTATTCATTCATCCAGAAACTATTTATTGAGCACCAACTCTGTATCAAGTGCTGTGCTAGGCATTGAGACTACAGTAGGGAGCAAGAAAAATGTAATCCCTGACCCCACAGAGCTTCCATTATAAGGTGAGGAGAGTAGTTAAGCAAACAATTTCAACAAATTGTGGTTAGATGTACGGGGTGACTTGGGAGCACATCACAGGGGGACCTCGCCCAGAAGCATAGAAAGTCAGGGAAAACCTCTTGGATGAAGGGACTTCTAAACTGAGACCCACAAGATGAGTGGGTGAATGAACAGGTGAAAAAGTGATTGAGGCAGATGAAACAACATATCAGAATCTGTTGGAGGGAAGAGAGAGCACCATGCACATTGGAAACTGACAAACTGACAGTGCTCTGGCATGGGTGGGATGCATTGATTGTGAGATGAGGAAGGGCAAGCAGTGACCTAGAAAGATTAGGAAGGGCTGGGCCATAAAATATCATATAGGCCATGTTAAGAAGTTTGATGTTTATACTAGTGAAATAATAAGGAATTTATTTTCTTAATGTAACAGATATGAGTTTCTTTCTTGAGAGAATAAAAATACAAAGAAGAAAACAAAAGTGGCTTCATATTCACTTTCCACGTGACTTTTTTTTTTTTTTTGTAAATGTAACTAATGTATAAGGCTTGAAATCTAAACAGTTCAAAATGAAAAATGAAAGTCACGCTTCTCCCAACCAAGTTGCTCTCCCCAAGGAAAACCACTATTAAGAATATTTTGTGTTATTTCCAGAAGAAGTATCCCTTGTTCTCTCATGTAAGTCTGTATATATGTGTGTGTGTGTGTGTGTGTGTGTGTGTGTGTGTATGTGTGTGTGTATATATATGGAGTTATCTACATCTCTATATATAACCAATCACAAGATGCTCACTCTTCTGCACCTTGCTCTTTATTTAATGACATATATTGAAAATATTTTCATATGTGCATTCACACACACACACACACACACGAAATATTTCATCAGTTTGAATGCCGTCATTACTAGGGAGTCTTACTAATCTCATTATTATTCCAACTTTAGTCAATAAGGGAGGGATTGTTGGGAGATTTTAAGCAATAAGGGTTTACAACCACTTTTGTGTTATGGGAAAAATAGCTTTGGCTGTTATTTGAAGACCAGATTATGGGGGGTCAAGAGTGGAGTCATAAAGAATTATAAGGAGGCTGTTATGCTGGTCCAATTAAAAGATTGTGGTGGCTTAGACCAAGTCCATGGCAGTGGAAATAGAGAGAAGTGGCTGGATTGAAAAGATGTAAAATATAAATATGACAGGACTTATCAATGAAATGGTTGTAGAGAGTGAGAGAGAAGGGAGTAATCTCAGATGACATTCAAGTCTCTGGCTTGGTATATAGGAATGAGAATCCTAATTATATCATTCAGTCGTTCAGGAGGCTTATTCTGAATGACACTCACCCATTGAAAATATCCTCTTCCTACTCTAAAATGTTGCATCACATTGTACAGACCTCTATTCTCTTACTTACTATGTCCATTTATAGTAATGAAACACTTTATTTGTACATTGTTTTAGCCTTCTTACATGCTATGTACTCCTTAGTAGTGTGGCTTGAAGTAGGAAGGCATGAGGAAAATAGAGGAAGAAAAAAAAACTGACATTTACTGATCATTTACTATGTAACAGGTGCTGCACAGGGCCCTTTTTCAGATATTGCATTTTATTTTCACAGCCTGATTTTACAAATAACAAAACGGAGGCTCAGAGAACTCAAGTGACTTCCCCAAGATCACACATTTTAGGGAGAGACAGAGCTAATATTCAAACCAGGTTTGTCCATGCCCAGAGCCCACCATCAGGAAGCCAAATGACAAAGTATAGAAGAGTTGGGAGGAGGAGCTGATGCCATGTATAGAGCTGCTCCAGGCAGGCAGTGTAGAGGAAAACATGTTAATTGCACAGGGAGAGGAGAGGAAGCTTCACCCAGGCAAGCAGAAAGGTTATTGGGCAAGGGAAGTGGGGAAATAGGTGTTGGGAGGACTCTCAGGGAGATGCCACATGAATGAGGTACCAGGAAGATGAATAAAACATATTTTTGATCTAGGGCCAAAGAGTGAATACTCAAAGACCAGGGGAGTCTGGAGCTAAGGAATCAGTCTGCAGGCGCAAGTAAGCTGGTAATGTTGGGGGGTGGGGGAGGTGAGCTTCAGAGCAAGCATCCCTTAGAGCAGTGGTCCTCAAAGTGTGGTCCTCAAACCAGCAGCATCAGCATCACCTGGGAACTTGCCAGAAATGCAAGTTCCTGGGCATCACCCAAGATTAACTGAAGCAAAAACTCAATGTCTTAACAACCCCTGTAAGGGATTCTGATACATGTTTAAGTTTGAGACCTACAGTCTTGACAGTGTTAGAGGACTAGGGAAAGCAGGGAGTGGAGTTCAAGAGCCAGAGTACAAGAGCCAAACAGTATACCCAGAGCAAGCCTGGGACTGTCGCACATCAGAGCAAAGCAGAGCAACCTTTCCAAAGCATAACAGAGTCTGCTGGTCAGAAGTGGTGATGGGGAGTGGCTTCAGAGATGTGGTCTCTGGGGGACAACCCCCTCTTCCCTGCACCCCTCCACCTTTCCCCAGAGGTCTTCTTTCTAAGAAACTGCTAAGAGCAAGCTCATCAGAGGATTCTGAGGTAAAGGAGTTGGACTGTCTGTGCCAAGGCACTTTAATTTTCTCCTGGTACCTGATACTGTCACAAAATTTTACTGTGGAAAATATGGGAAGGAAAACAACATTTATTGGGGGTCCCAACATGCTGAACACTGTGCTAAGGGTTCACACAAATGCCAGCTGATTTAATCCTCACAATATTTCAGTCATGGAAGTGTTATTATTCCTATTCTGCAGATGAGGAACCAGACGCTCGAAAAAGTTAAGTGATTTGCCCAAGGTCACATAGCTCAGAAAAAGGCAGCCAAGATACAATCCTTAGTCTTTCTGACTCCAAACGCCATGCTTCTCACACTAGACCATGTTGACTCTAATGTGAAGGTCCCTGGGGTCCTCTCCTCTTTATAGCCACCCCAGGGCCATGTGTTAGTGATGGCCCATAGATGAGTAACCTGGAAATATTGGTTGAATGAATAAATGAAAAGATGTTCTAGTGACAGATTTTAACACGTGAAGGCCCCTTAAGGATATTCTGGTCTTATGGGTTTCAAATATGTTTTTAGTGTACTAGACATTTCTTACTGGTGCTCTGGACATACACTTTGTCTGGGAAACCAGTCATAACCAGTGGACAGGTTCCTCTGTCCCTTCACCCTTGCCCATTCCTATCTCCTTCCCTGCCTTACCTAGAACAAATCCACTTTCATCTTCCATAAGTAGTGGGTGTTTACTAAGATTCTGTTTGGGGAAAGGGTTCTGATGCCAAAATTAATTTTGAGAAATCCAAATCTAGACCACCTTTTTCATGTTATAGGTGAAGAAACTGAGTGATAGAAAGGCAAAAAGACTTGTCCAGGGTCACTGTGTGCTCTTTAGTAGCATAACTAGAACATGAAGCCAGGATTCTTGAAACATTCTTCTTTTTTAACACAAGTTAATACAGTTTGTGTCCTAACGAAGAAACAATTATTTAGACTTAAACAATTATTTAGAATTGAAATATTAAAAATTATAACTCTAATTTTTGCCTTTACTATGTTCCAGTTATTGTGGTAAATAGTTAATATGTATAGCCTTATTTAAGTTCTTATAACAGCCTTATAAAATGGGTAATATTATTATCTCCATTTTAAAGAGGTGAAAACCGAGGTTTAAGGGGATTAAATTACTTTAATCATAGAATCAGGAAATGGCACAGTTGGGATTTCAGTTCAGAATATCTGATTTCAGTTTTCATGCTCTTAATAGTGATGCCATATTTCAAATGTCTATATTGGAAAAAAGAAGTCTATTATTTAGCTTGCTGCTTGTTTTGTAAATAAATTTTTATTGGAACAATGATATACCTTGCGAGCTACAAAGACAAATTTGTGTAGTTATGGCAAACAGAAACTGTATGTTCTGGAAATAAAATATTTAGTAACTAGCCCTTTACAGAAAAGGTTTGCCAACCTCTGGTCCGTAGACATCAACTTGAAAATGTTTTTCTAGTGACCTCCGGGAGAAGGAACCAGAAATATACCCTGGATTTGCAGAAGAGGTGGGTGCTGCTTGTATTGTCAGTGAAATTGATGAATGAATAATACAAGCCTGGAAACCTGGCTTACCTGGCCTCCTGCAGTCTTCACTGTGTTGATTCAAGTCTATTATGACCTGTTCTTGTTGTCTTTCATGAGTCAGAGCAGAGGCCTTATCCCTTCCCCTCCCTGTCATAAATGCCTTAGAGTTTGGACTTGGATCTCAGCTTAATGAGTTTTGTCTCCACTTCCCCTTTCTTGCTTCAAGGTTCACATGTGTGCCAAGCCGATAATTCTAGGGGCTGCCGTGGCTTGGCTAAGCTTCCCTTGACCACTGAGCATTTCTTTTTTTTTTTTTTTTTAAATTTATTTATTATTATTATACTTTAAGTTGTAGGGTACATGTGCATAACGTGCAGGTTTGTTACATATATGACGAGTTGATGGGTGCAGCACAGCAACATGACCACTGAGCATTTCTAAGGGAGTTGAGGCTGGTGGCTCCTCCCTCCTTCCTACTGGTGCTTCCACCTGCCTTGGTCTGAGTTGCAGTCCATGGGGCAGCGCCTAAGTGTCTGAGCACACTTAACTTAAGAATCTCTAGTGGTTTATGACGCAGACTTTGCCCTACCAGCTCAGACTTCTGAATGTTCTCTTCCCTGGACCCTGCTCCAGACACTTTAAATTCACAAGAGGAAAATGTGCCCAGCCTGCCTGGAGAAAAGCATCTGCTCCTAGCCAAGATCTCCTCATCACAAAGTAAGAATATCAGGTGGTGGAACCTCCATCATACCTGTCCCCTTCCTATACCTGGGTCTGTTGGGTAGATGCAGTCATTTTTAGAGAGGCATAGTATTCTCAGACCTGTCGCCACAAATTGCTCCCCACTCATTCTTTTCCTATACTTTGTGTCTTTGAAACCTCTTCATCTTCTATGTTTAATATCTAGACTATACTTTCTTCATGGAATTCTAAATATGTAAATTTACAGGGCTAGGAGGGTCCATATCTAGTTTAAGACCCTCATTGTAGAAATAGAAAAAGGCCTAGAGAAGAGAAGGGAGTGGGCCAAATCCACAAAATCCACATAGCTGATTACTGCTAGAGCAAGTGGGACAAGAACCTTGGTCACTTGACTCAGGACGGTGACTTTTCACTGTTCTCTCTTTCCACCAGGAACGGTAATGACCTTTGACTTTAAACAAATCCAGACCTCAGTTTTACCCTGAATTTTTGGGAGAACGTTTAGGGTTTTTTTTTTTTTCTTTTTAGTATTTTCAATTCTTCTGTGTCTTAGTTTTTAGGGTGTTGATCTGTGTTAATCCAGGCTATCTTCTAGCTATATCTGGTTTCCTCAAGTGGAAAATGTTAAATATAGTTAATATAAAATTTCACTCTAGAATCTGTTAGAAATGACAGAGGCAAAGTTAATGTATATAAAAAAAAAAAACAAAAAAATTCACCAGTGCCTGGTGGTCAGTAGACTTTCAATAATTGTGAAGTCCCTTCTACCCCCTCGAAAGGACTGTGTTTCTCCCCTAAGCAGCACAGTGTATGTGGTGGTTTCACGGTTAAAAGTTTAGACAGGCCCAGTAAATCTCTCTTCTATTTTACTTCCTAAGTGTGTGACCTTGGACAAGCTACCTGCCCTCTCACAGCTGAATTTTCTTCAGTTGTAAAATAGAGAGAATTAGAGTATTCATCTCACAGGATAATTGTGAGACTTAAATAAGAGAATGCATGTAAAATGGTTAACATAGGACTTAGAATGTACAAAAAAAACTCTTTGTTTTACTGCCAGTTTTATTTTTACTTATGACCAAGCAGCCATGACCTCAGAATAATAGTCAGGGCTGACAATTGTGCTTCAAAGCAAGAAGGGAAACAACTGGTGACATGGAGACTCTTTCCATTTCTACCTCATTTCTTAAACGGAGCTGTTAAAATCTACCCATGAGCTTTGGCTGGCCACACTGAAAGTGTCCTCCTCTCAGCAAAGACCAATTAACAAGTTCTGAAAACAGAAGTACAACCCACCGCCTTGTAATTCCTCCTGAGATCCTAACCAGGATTTGTAAAACACCCGGATATGGGTAAAGAACCATCCCGGGTTTTGTATCAAACCAGGCCCCAGAGGAACAGGACATTCCAGTAGTTTTGTTTCTGGAAAAGAGGGCACCCAGCCCTTCCCCCTCCCTCATCCTCCCATCCCAGTAACCCCTGCCAAATTGAAATCCTGGACTTAATTTAGGAGAAAGGCCCTGTAACCAAGATACTGACTGAACATGGCTGGCGGACTCAGGCTGGAGTCTGCAGTGCAGCATTAATGGGCCGCTGACATGAATATGGAGTAGTTTTCTCTAGCAAAGGTAAGCTTTATTTTCTCTTTTCAAACCCTACTTCACCTGCCTTCCTGTGCAAAAACGTTTATTTAGTTGGGCTTAGGTGAGTCCTGGCCATTGAGAGAAAAAGTCCGTGGCCAAAAGTTGGAAGAGGTTTGGCTGGTGTGCAGGAAAGTTAAAGGAGACAATAGGCTCCTTTTGTTCCTCTCGCCAACGTAGCCAGGACCACACTGGCTTGTCTGTTTCAGGGCCAATCCTGGAGCCATACAGAGTAGTTCATTTTCCTGTCGAAACAGCTTGTTCATCTTCTGTCTCACAGGTTGAGGAATTTATTGAGGTGATGGATCTGAGGATTATATAAGTGGGAACTCAAATACTTAAAAATAACCATGTTTGGTTTCATATTTTGAGACCAGATTGGCACAGAGTAAGCCAATAAATGATAGCTGAACTAAGCTAAACATCTGAATTTGAGTAGTCTTAGTGTCTAAATAGCAAAAATCTTTTAGAAATCATTGGTTCAAATTCTTGCTATTTTTAACAACCGGCTCCCTGACTTTGAGCAAATCCCTGCACCTCTCTGGTCTCAGTTTTTTATATATCACATGAGGGTGATTGAAAAAGATCGTTTCTAAAGGTTTCATGCATGTGTGAATCTATAACACGTTCAGTTTTTCATTACTCAGCATCTGTTATATGACAAGCAATCCTTTTGCTAGGGACTCAAATATCCATGGTTTTGTTTGGGCCTCAAGACAATCCTGTGAAATAAATATCATCCCATTTTTTGGATAAGATGACTAAGGCTAAAATAATTTATTGAAAGGTCACATAGCTATCACAGACAAGAGATGGGATTTGAATCAAGGTCTTTAACTTCAAATCGGTATGTTTTCTATCACAGAGTTAAGAAGGCAGAGGACCAAAAGGTGAATTTTGATGCAGGGTTTATTAGGAAGGCTGCTGAGAGATTGGAGACAGGGCCCCAAATTTGGCTCAGCATTCCTTTACTCAGTGGAGTAATCCTTTGTTTAGGATGAGCCTGTCTAGCCCAAAGTACTATAACTGAGAAAGGGAGATGGAGGAAGAGAAAAGAGCATTGTCACAATAAAGGAACAGTTTGCAAATTCCAGGGACCACAGCAATGCAAATTGTTATGAATAATAGGGACCAGACCCAGGTAACATTGGGATGACAGGAATGTAAGGTAAAGCTAAGGGAGGCTTAACTTTATATTGGCTGGTCTTCTCTCCAGGTTGGCGCAAGGTTTCATTATATCTTAACTAAAGTATCCAAATAGCCTAGAAATTTTCTTTCTCTTATCTTTCCTTTGAGTGCCTCTTCCTTCTGCCTTCCCATTTAATTAATTAATTATTATTATTATTATTATTTACTTTTTCCCAGGACTCTTTCTCAACTTACTTACTTCATTTGTCCTTTTATTTATTCCTGTTCTTTTTCCTCATCAGTCTGGTTCTTCTCTTTTTTTTTTTTTTTTTTTTACCTGAAACTTTTTTTTTTTCTTTTTTTATTATACTTTAAGTTCCAGGGTACATGTGCATAATGTGCAGGTTTGTTACATATGTATACTTGTGCCATGTTAGTGTGTTGCACCCATCAACTCGTCAGCAACCATCAACTCGTCATTTACATCAGGTATAACTCCAAATGCAATCCCTCTCCCCTCCCCGTCCCTGTGATAGGCCCCGGTGTGTGATGTTCCCCTTCCCGAGTCCAAGTGATCTCATTGTTCAGTTCCCACCTATGAGTGAGAACATGTGGTGTTTGGTTTTCTGTTCTTGCGATAGTTTGCTGAGAATGATGGTTTCCAGCTGCATCCATGTCCCTACAAAGGACACAAACTCATCCTTTTTTATGGCTGCATAGTATTCCATGGTGTATATGTGCCACACTGATGGACATTTGGGTTGATTCCAAGTCTTTGCTATTGTGAAGAGTGCCGCAATAAACATAAATGTGCATGTGTCTTTATAACAGCATGATTTATAATCCTTTGGGTATATACCCAGTAAGGGGATGGCTGGGTCATATGGTACTTCTAGTTCTAGATCCTTGAGGGATCGCCATAGTGTTTTCCATAATGGTTGAACTAGTTTACAATCCCAACAGTGTAAAAGTGTTCCTATTTCTCCACATCCTCTCCCCAAAGTCCGCGCGAGAGATCCTCGGCCTCTTTAAGACAGGAGGCAAAACTGAACGCAGCAGGAAAGCTAGGTGCTTGAGCGTGTAGTTCAAGGTCATACATAGAGCGCCGTAAATAAATGGTGAATGTGCAGAGCTAGAAGCATGACTTTTGTTTCTCTGGTTACCGACCTGAACGCAGTCCACTTACCATGAAATATCTAAGTGGTTATATTTTATTTTATTTTGTTTATTTATTTATTTTTTATTATTGCGACCGTGTTTTGCTCTTGTTGCCCAGGCTGGAGTGCAATGGAGCGATTTCAGCTCACCACAACCTCCGCCTCCTCAGGTTCAGAGCGATTCTCCTGCCTGCAGCCTCCCTAGTGGCTGGATTACAGAAGGCA